CTGTGTGTGTGTGTGTGTGTGTGTGCGTGTGTCTGTGTGTGTGTGTCTGTGCATATGAGTGTGTCTGTGCGTATGAGAATGCCTCTGTGTGTGTGTGTGTGTGTGTGTGTGTGTGTGTGTGTGTGTGTGTGTGTGTGTGTGTGTGTGTGTCTGTGTGTGTGTGTGTGAGAGTGTGTGTGTGTGTGTGTGTGTGTGAGTGTGTGTGTGTTATAGATGAGTGGTGGGATATACACACACTAAGAGGTGTATGCGCTGCTCTCTCGAGACTGCATTCACACTGTAACTCCATATAAATCTCCAGCAGAAGTGATAGAGTTGGAAGCCTTTCCACGGGTCCCACGACTCGACCGAAACTGATGCTGTCTTTAATCTACACCTCATGTAAATGAGCCAGATATTAAATACACGAGGCCATGACGTTCTCTTCAAAGCCACGGCTCAGGCAGGAATAGGATTTGCATTATAAATGACAGTTTTGTGCAGGTGTTTCTTCTAATGTAACATGTTATGCAGTTACATAACCCATGACAAGTTAACCAATTATGCTGCACTGTTACACTTATTCAGAAAGTGAATCTGGTAATACAGTACAGTTTGAGGTTTCGTTACTCGCTGTGTTAAAGCACATTAACAGCACTCGTGATAAGGAATTGTAGTGATATATTGATCGTCAGGAAGAGCTCAGAGCCAATATCTTGTATCCAAACAAGTTTACCTCCAAGTGCCATTAAAGTGGTGTTTCCTTGAGGATTTGGTGATATGTTGTAGATTCTGTCTCTTCCGGAGCAAAGGGCCCAAATGTGATATTTCTGATAAGAGTTTGTGAGGATTAAAGTGAGGTAAAGTGTATTTCTGTGCTCTGTAACATCACTGTATCTATCTCTCTCTCTACACACACACACACACACACACACACACACAGTCCGTACTGATTTTTCAGTACATATTGATTTGACACATTTGAAACTGTTTTGATACTCATTTTCTGCAGTATTTATACACTGGTCAATCATTATGACACACTGCAGTGTTTATTTAAATAAGAATACAGTGCGGTGCGCTGTGTGTTTCAGAGCGAAGCGCATCACCGTCTTCTCACACACGTGCGCCGCAGTTTAACATGCATTTGGGAATTCAATGCGCGACAGTTCAGCTTTATTTTCTCAATTGCAGAACTTCCAGTTGTGTTTCAGTTGTGAAGTATTTAATAAACGTGGTTATTAAAAACAGACATTATGGTTATGATGTAAAATATTTTAGGTTGAATTTCTGTGATATACAGTCACCACATTCAACACACAAAACTACTCAGAGCATGATATAATATTTTGGTCATTCCGTGCACCGCTAGGCTAGCAGAAGCTTAACCGCAGCAGCCTGAGCCTGACACACACACACACACACACACACACACACACACCCTGAGGTGATATACCAGCACTATAGAGGAACAGTGAGCAGAGTCCAGCTGTGTATTGATAATCTGTCAGTCAAAAGTCTCTCGGCAGACCTGAACACACACACACACACACACACACACACACACACACACACACGTGTGTAACGCATGAACACCACTGGGCCTGTGTGAACGTCACCACTCCTCATACAGCACATTTCACACAAGAATCTTCATTATAACTAACTAATATTGATTATTACATCTCAAGATTGATCTTTGAGTCTATGCTTTGCACCAATAAAACTTCACTAAACATTATTTGAAGCGTGGCCATCTTCCGATGAGTCGGGCTCTATGATTCCAGCGATGTGGAAAACCAGGACGGGATCGTGGAGTCCAGTCATAAAAACGTATAAATGAACTGAATAAGGCGGAATATCACGGAATTTGTCCCATTTCTGATGAATAAATAAAAAGCAGGTCAGTACATTTAAATCAAATCCTGATATAAATAGTTGTTAAATCGTATAAGTTTCATGGTTTCTGATTTTATATAAGTTTTAAGATTTCTAACTGAAACATGAAATATGCTTGTTTTCTGATAGTTGAGACCTTTCTACATGACACAAGTTATGAATCATGATTTTACAGATCACATTTTCCAAACCAGTTATTTTTTTTAGAAAATGTAAAAGCACGTGTTTAAAATCACAAAGCTTTAAAATCGACATATATTTTGTGTCGGTTAAGCAAGTGGTTAAAGGATTAGTTCACTTTTTAAAAAACTTTTGCTGATAATTTACTCACCCCCATGTCATCCAAGATGTCCATGTCTTTCTTTCTTCAGTCGAAAAGAAATTAATGTTTTTGATGAAAACATTCCAGGATTTTTCTCTATATAATGCACTTTGCTGGGCACCAAACGGTTCAAGGTCTAAATGACCGTTTCAGTTCAGCTTCAAAGGGCTTTAAACGATACCAGACGATGAATAAGGGTCTTATCTAGAGAAACGATCGGTCATTTCAAAAATAAATAAAAAAGTTAAAGTTTTAAAGGCACAAATGCTCGCCTTGCAAACTCTCCTGTTCGAACTCGTTCATCAAAATGAACGAATCTTTTTTCGAGTCATTGACTCGTTCATCAAAATGAACGAATCTTTTTTCGAGTCATTGACTCGTTCATCAAAATGAACAAATCTTTTTTCGAGTCATTGACTCGTTCATCAAAATGAACGAATCTTTTTTTGAGTCATTGACTCGTTTATCAAAATGAACGAATCGTTTTTCGAGTCATTGACTCGTTCATCAAAATGAACGAATCTTTTTTCGAGTCATTGACTCACTCATCAAAATGAACGAATCGTTTTTCGAGTCATTGACTCACTCATCAAAATGAACGAATCGTTTTTCGAGTCATTGACTCGAAAAAAGATTTGTTCATTTTGATGAACGAGTTTGATCCTGGAATGTTTTCATCAAAAACATTAATTTCTTTTCAACTGAAGAAAGAAAGACATGGACATCTTGGATGACATGGGGGTGAGTAAATTATCAGCAAAAGCTTTTTAAAAAGTGAACTACTCCTTTAAGTAACATGATAACTTAGTAGCGCCTACCGCTTCGGATTTAAGAGGTTAAGGGTTAACGATTAATCGATCGCTAATATAAACAACAAACGATTTTGGGAATACAGTATATGTAAATTTACATGCCTAACCACTTTTTTTTTTTTTTTTTACTCCATCTTCAATGTTTCACAGTCTCATTTTCATCCAAATAAAAATGTGAAGAAACAAAAATCAATATGAAATTTACTCCAAGGTCCTTCGGGTCACAGAAAGGGTGAGCAATCCTGGACCGACATCACAAGTGGAGCGGCTGGCTTCTTTAAAAACATTTCAAAGTATTAAAGTATAGCGCGCAAATCCTCTAGACAAAGTGTGTTGTGGTCTCGTCCAGTGTGTGTAAGTGCAGCGTCTGGACCACACACACACACTCGAGCGCGTGTGAATGTCAGATCTGCGGGGGTTTAATTGCACACCCACTCCAGCTAATAGGGCAGCTTCCAAAAGTTTAGTCCTGCATCGCCTTCGGGTTTCATTTCAAAGCGTCCGCACCCGTTCGGCCCTCACAGGGACGTGTTTACCATTCTCCCAGAAACGCACAGGTGACTGACCTCAATCTCTCTCCCTGTTCTCTCCTGCAGAGCCGCTGAATAACGCCTCATAAATAAAAGCGGCTGAAGAGAACCGCTCTGAATTTCTTTGTCCTAAGCAGAAGTGTGACGCAGGTTCTCTATCGTGGGTATAAAACACGGAGGAAAAGCGAACGCTGAAGAGATTATTCTGGTTCACCTCAGACTGTCCAGAAAGACTTCAAATAGACTCTTGCACTGAACTATAATGGTGAGAAAGGGCTTGGAAAGTGCAATGTGAAGCCATGCTTTGACATACTGATTTTGTATGAGTTTCATGATTTCTAACTGAAATAAATATGCTTGTTTTCTGATAGTTGAGACCGTCCAATGATACATGACACAAGTATATCTGTTATGAACTATGATTTTACATTTTCAAGTAAAGCAGGTTTTTTTTTTAGGAAATGTAAAAGCACTTGTAAAGTGATGGTCATATTCCGTGTATTCAGTGTAAAGCCAAGCTTCTAAGCTTTAAAATCGACACATATTTTGTGTTGGTTGAGCAAATAGTTGTTAAATTACATGATAACTTTAGCCTGGCGTCGTCATACTCAGATGCTAGTCTGATGCTCCTCCACTGGGCTGTGATTATGGGGCGTTTCAACCCAACCAGGAAAGAAAATGCGTCTGCAGTCGATTGGATCGGCAAATGCCTTGATGGCGGTTCTCTATTCCTCTTTTAAAATGAATGCGCTGTCTACATCTCCTATAACAGACGCGACGCTGTTCTACACATCTCAGTTCTCCAGCGGCGGCCATCTTTGTTGTAAACGAACTCAACCCAAGCGCTCTTCGGTGACGTGATGATTACGTTACGGTTGATCATCTGTCCATCATCGTATAAAGCCCGCCCTGATGATTTGATTGGTCCGAACAGCTTTGGTTCGGCATACTTGCTTCTCAGCGGATCGAGTCCAGACCGAACTTCCCATCCTCAGATGTTGTGGGCGGAGCTAAGTATGTATTTTCGATGCTTCAACACACTCTAACTAACCCACTGATGTCACATGGACTACTTTGATGATGTCTTTATTTCCTTTCTGGACAAGGACAGTATACCATACACACATTTACAATGGAGGGACAGAAAGCTCTCGGACTAAATCTAAAACATCTTAAACTGTGTCCCGAAGATGAACGGAGGTCTGACGGGCTTGGGACGACATGAGGGAGAGGCATTAATGACATCATTTTCATTTTTGGGTGAACTAACCCTTAAGAGGTTAATGTTAACGATCAATCGATTAATCAATCCTTAATTTAAACAATCGATTTTTGGATGTAAATTGACATCTCTAACCACAATGTTTTTTTTGTTTTTTTTTGTGGAAAAACTCTTCTTTAATGTTTCTCAGTCTCATTTTCATCCAAATAAAAATGTGAAATAAAATCATTGTGTACCTGTTTCTCACACTGGCCGTAGTCTGGGCCGTGGTCGACCTGGAAGAACGACAGCTCTCCTCGGTTCTTGGCCATCTCGATCAGACTCATGGCGGTGCGGACCGTAGAGTTACGGGCGTGCACAAACACCATCACCTAAAACACACACATCGGCTTCGGTTACGTCTGGGGTTTGGACATCAACAGACTGAGTGAACTGGACCTCATAAATGCCTGAACTCAAGCTCTCTACATTAATGACCGACCGAAACTGAGTTTTTAATGGCCGATATAAAACTGATGTTTATAGTTTATATCCCCACACGATTTCATTTCAAGACAGTAAAAACACCTGCAGAACAATTGCAAAAACTACTTATTTTACATAATTACTAAATTAGAAATCATTTGAAAATGAATTTAATGAAGAAAAAAAAACTATTTGTAAAAAAAGACCATTTTAAAATATTAATACTTAAAAAAAGACTATTTTTAATGAAAAAAGAGAACTATTTTGTAATCACAAATAAAGAAATATGTTAAATATACGAATGAACAATTATTTTAATTTCATTTAAAGATATTAAAAACATGTGGAAGTGAAATAATGCCAAATGTTAAAAAAAAAATGCATTGCATTAACCGCGCTTGCATTTAAATGCATTGTATTAAATTGAACATGGTTGCATATATAAGCTGTGAATATTTCAATTCAAAACATTTCACACACATTTTCATTATTAAAAATTCAATAATCCATTTGCACCTTGCTTGAACAAACAAAACTCAAGCTTTTTTTTTGTTTCAAAAACATTTGGTATTATTTTACTTAAATAATTAAAAACACCTCCTGCATATCAACTGCAGAAACTACTTATTTTACATATTTACTAAATTAGAAATGATTTATAATTTAATTTATTGACCAATCACAACACACTGCTCCAGCCGACCAATCAGAGCACAGTGTGCTTTCAGAAGGAGGGGCTTCATAGAGACAGGAAGTAAACAGAGCGTTACTGAAAGACTGGGAAGAGAGGAGCCGCAACAATGGAGAATATGAGGAGAATAATCAACATTCAAGCAGGAAAACCTGTTCTAGAAGAGCCCAAAAACATAATCAATAATTTATAAAAGAGTAAACTATGGCCTCTTATGAAATGCAGATTATGACTTTATTTTAATTAGTAGCATCTCTAATTTCTAGCAGATTTATATATTGTGATGTTCCTTATTGTGGAAAAAAAAAACTTGATAAAACTATTGGTTGAAAATCGTGGTAAAGATGTTGGTTATATTGCGCATCTCTAGATAGTTTAAACAGGGAGCTGCTAGAAAGTCAACGCATATTGCTTTAATTCATTCAAATACCCACATTGACAATTCTAATAATTAATAATATAATTTCACGTTTTTGAAGTTTACAAGGAGATAATAAAGTTCTTAAAAATGTTTCAAAACTGGAAACATATTTCAAAGTTTGCGTTCTCGAGCCACCAAACACTGCTGTCGTGCGCGTGAGCGGCCAGAACACGTTAAGAGTTTTCAGTTAAACGGTGTCGTGTAACCGGCCCTTAAGTTAATAACTAATGATCTTTGCAACGGAAGTGAATCAATCAAAACTAACTTTAGCTGGACAATAACTTTATTCTAGAGCTGCTGTAAAGACAAATCTCTGTTACATTAATGTCCTATTATCACTGTAAAGCTGCTTTGAAACAGTCCATTTTGTTAAAAGCGCTGTATAAATGCAGGTGAATGACTATCTTATTACATGCAAAAGTGAACAGCACATCTAGACCTGGCCTCTAACTCCTGGACCGGTCTGACAGGGCAGAAACTGTGCAGAAGGGCAGAGCGTCTGTGTGCGTATCAGTCAGAGGACAAAAGAGGCTTGTAATTTTCCTATTACACTCAGGCTGCCCTTGCAAAGCAGTCAATACCTCAGACAAAAACAATCAATAATAGAAATACAAGACAGTTATGAGATGGCAAAAAGACCTCTCTCTCTCTCTAACTGTTCTCGCCGTCCTCTCACTGACAGTACTGATGCTGTGGGAGAGCTGGGGGAGAACAAAAATAAACCTGACAAAGTATTCTCGACTTAACACATAATATTCTAGCATATTAACTCCCTAGAGTGACACTTTCCAGCACAATAATCCTGTGAATGAACACACATGCAGAACTGTGACCTTAAAGACCCCAAAGGCAGGCGGTACTGGGGGACAGACGGTCTCCTTCTAGAGATCATTTCACTAGAGATCAATCTTGGGTCATTTTTTCTACCCAAATCCTGGGTTGAGCCCTCTGGGTCAATTTCTTTGGGTTATTTTTTTCAGTGTTTGGGTAGTTTTTATGTTATCCTGATCCTAGGTGTGAGTCTCCTAAACGAGTGTGCTGTCGATCCTTTAGCGTGTTGGAAACGCCTGATGCCTTGCATAAACTTTGATGATTTTATTTTAAAAAAAAGCTACAGAATATAAATGCTTAGAAATGTATGCATAACTGTACACTGATTGTTTATGGACAGGTTATGGAGTCACAGCATATTTCGGCTACGAGTGACGTTATTAGTTCCCGCGCTGAACACGACACGAGCTCCAGCGCCGTTACGATTACACTTCAATTACTTAAAAACGTTTCATTTGTACTTCTAATATTTGTAAAACGAGCTTACATGTAGTCAATATGTATTCAAAACTATATAAGATATGCTATACCGATAAAATATGATTGAAAATAAAGGAATTATCATGCAAACCAGTGGTTGTGTGGAGTATTTTGTTTAAATTGAGAGGATACATAAACATTAAATAATGTATGAAGTAAAAAAGAAAAATCAACCTATTATGCTGGGTTAAATAAACAACCCAATTTGCTTAACCCAACATGTGTTCTACCCAGCCATTGGGTTGAAAACGACCCACATTGGGTTGTTTTTAACCCAGTGTTTATGTATTTGGTCTGTTTTAAATTTGTCTATCTGCAGAAAATGTTTATAGCTCATAATCATGAGCACACTCAATGCCAGTGCTGATTTCATGGGATCTTTAAAGTAAAATGCAGTGTAAACTCTCTGCGTGTGTGCGGATACATCCACCTCAAAGCACATGACAGAGGCCTGAAACACACCGCTTGAGGAAATCGAATAATACGAAACACCTCAATCTCTTTAGCTTTGGGAAGAAATGAATAGATCTACTCTTTTTTTTTTTTTTTTTATATTCATACAACAGAAGTCAATGGTAACCAAAACTGTTTGGTTGCCAACTTTCTTCAAAATATCTTCTTTTGTTCAACAGAAACAGAAGTCTGTCTTTATTACTTCACTTTATTATATTTAAAGAGACTTAAACTTTGCAACATAATTGTTGGGTTGTTGTCTTTTGCAATTCCCCGTACTGTCGTGACACACACATGCAAAACATTTAATCATCTCTAATACAATTCCTAGACGCATAACCTAATTAACAAGGCACGAAACAAGTAAACTAACTATTTATGATGAAAAATGGTAACTTACCAATTGTAACTTATAAATACATAATTACAAATTGATCATTTATTTATAATAAGCACCGCCTGATGAAGCTGTCATCATTTACTCACATCGTTTAAAACCTGCATAACTTTATTTTTGACAGAATTTTATTTTTGGTAATCTTGAATTTAATATTTTTTATTATATATTATTATAGTTATATTTGTATTATATTATATATGTAACTTATCATCACCTAGTAACTAGAGAAATAATAATAATCTGGATCTAACGATTTTATCTTACAAATACTGTAATTCTTTTATCACACAAGTCGAATGCATGAAGTCTGAATCTGACTGAAGAAGGAAGCCGTGCTACGCTGGAGTCTGGCTCTGAGTCGATCCGCTGAGCGCTGTTGTTCTGTTTGTTTTGGGCTGTATCTTGCCACGGTCAGTACCTGGAAACAGAGCCAGACTTTGGCATTCATCACAATTGTTTGGGCCTGTGGATAATTGGTAGCTAATTAATTCATGATTGCTAATTTAAGAACAGCCTTCCAAAAAACACAAACATGTCCTTGACCACCTGCCAACATGTTTCTCACCAGCAATCTGCTCTTCTCAGAACACACACACACAGAGAGAGAGAGAGAGAGAGAGAGAGAGTGTGTGTGTGAGAGTGAGAGAGAGAGATAGACCAGAGAGAGAGAGAGAGAGAGAGAGAGAGAGAATATGTGGTTATTGGGGCTGTAAGGATTTGGAAAGACTGATCAGAAAACAGCTTTAATGAGCTGATCACTGTGACGAGAGGAACGCTCATAAAACAACAATAAATGCCAATGAAGGACAAGGAGAGCCGTGACGGATCAGCATGGCCACTGTACTGTACTGTACTGTACTTCAGTGCTCTTCAGGCCACAGGGGCTTTAGTGTTGATCCGGCAGAAGTGCCTCTCTTCCTGAAATAACTCCCATACTGGACCTTTTAAGGCTGAGTTTAAGGAAGATGCTGCATTTCTGGTATTTGTCAAAATCAATAGATACTGGCCTCGAGGGTTGGAAATTAATTCGATTCAATTCAAATTTATTTGTATAGTGCTTTTCACAATACATATTGTTTCAAAGCAGCTTTACAGAAAGTGCATTTCAGAAATGTACATAGAAAACAAATGAGGACTTGGTTCAAAAATGGCACCAAAATTAACATAAATGCCCCCAAAATTTGTGATAAAGCGGGGCAATTGCCCACGCACTAAAATTATGATTAAAAGTTTGAAAATGAATGGAAAGTGTCAATTGCGGAATTACATAGATATTTTCATGTTGCATCAACAGTTTGTTTTTATGCATATTATTTCAGCATTTAAAGTCCCCCTGTGGTGAAAATCCAGTTTTTTAATGTTGTTTATGTGTCTATGTGGAGTTTTTAAAACGCTTTAAGACACACCATGTGTAAGTTCATAAGTCGACAGCATTGCTGAGTATTTCCTCCTTAAAACTGCAGTGAACCAAAGACAGTCTCAAAAACACAGTTTGAAATCGCTGGTGTTTCTGACGTCACAAACGACCTTGTAACCAATCAGATCAACGTGTGATCGTCAACCAGTGGATCTCTGAGCTGAGTGAGTGAGTGGAGGCGGGGCTCATTTGCATATTCATAGAACCACGCAT